ACAACCACATGGGCACGACAGAAGCCCTTGCAGGATTCGCTGTGACAATAGCCAGCACTCCGTGGGCACCAAACCGTCCTCTGTGTGTTGTAGTTATGTATTGTGTCATTGTGTCCTGGCAGCCGCCCTAGAAGGTCGGTGACATTATCATCCCTATTTTGAGATGAAGAAACTGAGGCTCAGAGAGGTTGGGTAGATTGTCCAATTCTGCCCGACTGAAAAGGATGGCAGCCAAGACTTGAAGCAAGACAGTGTTTCATAACCAACCCTACTCACCCATGCAAGCCTATCTTCAAAATAATCATAATAATAGCTAACTTTTTTTTTTTAACTCTACCCTGTGCCAGGCTCTCTGTCAATTCCTTTCCTTGCATTTAATCCTTTGCCCAATCTTGAATGGCAGATGTGGTCATATTATGAGAAAACTGAGGCTCGGGAAGGTTAAGCAACGTCCACGGTCACACAGCTGACACCTGAGTCTGCCCAGCACCTGCCGTGGCTCAGCCTGTCTGGTCACCTCCCTGACAGTCACCACGCAGTCACCATGCGCCCTCCCTTCTGGCTTTGTTAATCTTCCCAGCACTCTCCACTCTGCCTCTGACTTGCGCCCTCCCCTCTTCCATCCCTGCCCAGGGCCAAGGCCCAACGCAAAGCCCACCGTCCTGGGAAGCTCTGAGTGCTCACTCGCTCACTCCAGCGTCCCCGCCTCGCCTCTTCCAGACGGCGTGGAGCATGTCTTTAGCATGTATTTTGGCACTTGACCATATTTAATTGACAGTGTCATCATCTATTATTTGGCATTGTCTTCTAATTAAGTAATTAGAAATCTTATATCTCCAACCAGAGGACAGAAATTCATTGAGGGCAAAGACTTGGCCTTTCCCTCCACCTGTTCTGTCTCCCTTGTCAGCTCGCAGAGGGCTGGGCACACAGCAAGCGCTCCAAGAAACGGGGGGCTCGGAGGGCGTGGCAGGCTGTCAGTCACCTTCACATCTGACCACTGGACATGTACCTCATGGCCGCTGGTTCCCTGGGCTGGGTGCAGCCTAAGCCTCATGGAAGGCAACTTCCCCTGGTGCCTCTCGACCCTTCCCTCCTCAATCCCGGGTTTCTGGGAGCCAGGGGTCCTTTGAGGACACAGCAGCCAAAGAACAACTTGACCCGCCATCCCCACTGGCAGCACCAATTCCTGCCCCGACCCCCACCCCCCACCCCCTAC